CCCATTTAAACAAGATTAATAGAATTACTTATTAGAGGATGCCACCAATGGTATTCGGAAACTCATCCTATAAACTGCCTAATGAAGCTGAAATTCAAGAATTTAAAAACTGTATCGTATTTGGCAAAATTTAAAAGCCATCCATCCTACATATTCAAAGCATAACTGGAGAAAGAGTTTGAATTAACGATTATACTAAGCGATTGCACATTCCATAAATTATATAACTATATCATGTATACTACTAAGCAAACCATATTGCAGTTTCTAGACCCAAGTAGTTTTAATTAAGTACAAACTTACTAAGGTGCTCTCTATTGGGCTACAAATTAAAGAATTACACAATTTGAACAATATTTACAAAGCTGTAAGTAAAGCAACGACTGATTAAATTCCTTTGCATCTTCATTTCATGCTTTCGATTTCTACATCAATGTGAGGTTCAAATGTGTACCTGAATGTTGAATACCAACAGAAGAAAAAGAAGATAGGGAGAATCAGCAGCAGCAACAGATAGCAACGACAAAGCAACACAGCAATAATGGCAATCCCAGGCAGAATAAACCAAAACAGTAACCCGACAATACAGTACTCAATGTTGATTCTTTCAAATACTCAAGGGAAAATCCTAAATCTTGACAGAACCAATAACAAACTTGATGCTGAATTTCAAACAAAAGAATGAGGAAAAAGCAGTGTTCTTAGTTCCAGACAAACAAGAATTTCTTTTCTAATCTCCCTCCCTGATTTCTGAAACCACTCTTTCTTATTCAAAGCTGTTTCTGACCAATTTCAGCACCTCTTTGTATGTGTGTGTGTATCTGTGTCTGTGTGTGTATGCCCTGTCTCTATATCTCTCTCTATTCCTTTCTCTGCCTATCTTTGTATATCCTTCTATCTTCATATGTCCTCCTTATTTATGGCCTAGCATCAGGCCATTTACAGCCTGTTAAGCAAATCAGAACCCCTCCCATGTGGTCTGCTGTCTTTCCACTCAACTATTTAAAAATAACAAACCTCCCATGAGATTCCCCTGACAGCCCTTTATCATCTTATTAAATTAATAACCAGGGTATGGGCAGCCTGAAGATGGCCTGACAGTGCATGGTGTCCCATTTGCTCTAATTATTAAAGAACTATAGTGCACATGCTATCAATTCAGAACTCAAACTGAACTGAAACCACAAACTAAACTATAAATGTTTTCTGATTCAAATCCACAAACAGCTATACTTACTTCCCAGTTGGATTCAGACAGAACTTCACATAAAAACCCATAATATGAATCAGATTATTACCATTCAAAGCTAAACTAATTGGCGACGTATATCGACTCGACCATACTAATTGTAACATATACAATTGAAGCCAATGATCAGAAAGCCAATAGTATCAACATGTGATTCAAATTGTACTGACTAAACAAAGTTGCACTGGGGACTAATTAATCAACCAAATTTAATTTCAATTGATTGTACAGCTTACACACATACACACGATCAGTAAATGCAGAGAAACTTGACCAAATACAGAAATCTGGGCAAAGTGGATAGAACAGTTAACAAAAATTCAAAAATAAATCAACTAAACGTTTGGACATATGAACAGACCTTTAACTACAACAAAAAAATGAACTGATAAAGAAAAAGAAAGTAAAAATACCTTATAGGCTTGAAAAATCAGAAAACCCTAACCCAGATTTGAATCGATCTTTCTTGGGGTTGAACGGACTTTAATCGGAGTGTTCTCAACGGAGAACACTTCGATTAAGGTCCATTAGACCCTAATCTTCTGGTTCAAATGAGACACAGATCGGACATCAGGACTTCTAGGGTTCCTAAGGGCAGATTTGGGATTTATGTTTCCCTGGTTAGATTCGGACCAAACCAAGCCTAGTTTGGTCACGAGGGAGGTCAGGGGAGTGCCTGGTATGAATCTAGGGTAGATCGGTGTGGATCAAAGTTCTGCTCAAATCTTCAAATGAAGATTCGAGAACCTAGGGACTGATTCGAACTAAGCGGTTGGTGGATTTGGATTCAGGGTGGTGAGGTGCATCTAGGGTGTTAAGGTGGTAGTCACCGGCGTCCATGCCGCCTGGTTTATGGTGAGGGAAAAGGGGGGCGGCGCTAGGGTTCCGAGGGTTTGGGTCCGTGAAAGAGACGAATCGAGGGGGGGTCTTTGGCTTAGGGCGCGGGGTAAAGGGGAAGGGTTTATATACGGGACAGGGATTGAATTGCTGGCCGTTGGATCATTGGCGATCAACGGCCATGATCTCTTGCCTTAAAGAGACGACACCGTTTGGATTAATGACTGGCCCGAGCTGGACCGTTGGATCCGTTTGACCAACGGTTCAGATAGGGGTGCCCAAAAACAGCATCGTTTTCCCTTGTGCCTGGGGCCGGACTGGGTTAGTGAGTTTGGGCCTGATTTTTGGTCCGACTTACTGGCCCAATTCTGTTTTTAACTTATTCTCTTTTTCCTTCTTTTAATTTTTGGTATATATATAAAAATAAAAAATAAAATTCCTATTAAATTGAAAAAGAACTAACATCACACAAATATTAACTAATACTCAAATAATTATCACTCACACCGGACATCCAAATAAAATCACTTAGTGACGAAAAGAAATAGCATAAAAGCTGCATTTTTTTTATTTTCCTTTTAATAACCGAATTATGGTTCGATTAATTCCTAATAGTAGAATAATATCCTAAACTTACACTCGACACATATTTTTTTGTATTTTTGTTGGACAAGACTAAATGGACACGGACAAAACCGCAAATAGCTAACAAAAATGCCATGCAAATTCCAAAAATTGTATGGCAAAGCCATTTGTTATTATTTTGATTTCTTTTGGAGTAATTGTCGTGTAAACAAAAATCACGTGCTCACAAAGGTTGTTGAAGAATGACTGAATGAAGTTTTGGTTCAAGAAAGCTTCCATTTATAGAAAGGTGCCAGTGTAACCGACGGCGCAATCGATGCCTTTAGGAAACGTATCGACAGGCGCAATCAATGGTTTTGGGGAGACGGATTAGCAGTGATATTAGCATGATGTCATCACGAGTGGCTCAAGGAGATCAGTGTCAAAATCATTTCTTATCATTTTAATCTAAGAAACGTAGGGACTATCTGTATACGGTAAAAATCAGAGGGTTCGATTTTATGATCGTTGAGGCACCTCGTAAAGACCGCCCCTAGAAGGCTCGAAGTTCAGCTCGGGGTTCGACCCCGAGGGTTCTCAATGATCGACCTCGAGGCAGTGCAATTCAACGACTATGATGGACTAACGGGAAGTTTCCAAGGTACGTGACTAAAGCTGACCAAGTCTATTAGGCTAGTTAAAGCTCGTACCGTGGCATTAAATGGCTGTACCAGCCTCAAATCCTTGTAATAAATGCGTTTGTACTATGTTGGAATTCCCTCTCATATATAAAGGAGACCCTTGTCATTTTGTAGCACACATAATATCACTTACAACATTCAATACAAGAACATTCTCTACTCTCTAACACATTCTCTCTTAATTCTATTATTTACATTTATTGCTTACATTTATTGTGTTCTATTGATTGTTCTTCATTTATTGCTCATTATTGGTCATAAAGAGCCCTCATCAAAGCTCTCAATACTGTTAGCCCTTCATCAGCCGTCCACAGCTCCGAACCTAGATCGACTTCGAGGCCCCGTATAACCTGGCTCGAGGCCCCGTATAACCTGGCTCGAGGCCCCCATTCTCATCCACTCGGTTTGCTTAAACATACTGCTTTCGAGTTCTTATCTTATTTTCTAGTCTCACACTTAGCATCTGCTGCCTAACAACTAGCATAAAAATAAATCACGTATTTTTAGAACCACAAAATCAAATCTAATTGTAATTACCATTTTCAAGGTAAACAATGAATGAAACAAATAAATGAAGTATTCTCCTTTATCTTTATCCTTTCCTTTATAATTCATACTTAATATGTAAGAACGAGAAGGTTATAAATTAGCTCTTCCCAACCTATTTATTGGTTTGTTAAACATTTGAATATTAGTAAAAGATCACCACATAAATCTTTCATAATCATGCGAAGCGCGACAAATTTACTAGTTTGATTATATTTGCTGAACTTTAGCATTCTTAGAAGCTCTTATAATAAGACTATACATCCACAAGAATATCAATAGTTTGGTTCAATATGCAAAAAAAGGCAAATTATAAAAATTCTCTTTTCATTTTATTTAGCTTCAAAGATTTTTATATGATTCTGAACAAAAAAAGCAAATGGTCATTATCTGAAGAAATACTGGCAGAGAAGAGATTTATTAAAAAAATAAAAATAGGAGCAGAATATTACCTCATCAAAATTTCTTCTAAATGGGAGAAAGCTAAAATGGTCAGCTTTCAGTTGTTGAACGTTGACAATATTATAATTACTGGACATAGCAGCACCAACATCAACAGAAAGTTCATCCCTATGACTATGAGAATTAGGATTTATGTTATTCATTTCCTTAGAAGAAGAAGAAAGAAGAAGAAGAAGAAGACAAGAAGGAGAAAAAGGATGAGAAAGAGGTCTGAAATTATTTAAAAAGTGGGTACAAGTTAAAAAATTTTTAAAAAATGGGTATAGATTAAATGGTGGCGGCTAAATAGGGCTCCCCGTGCAATTTAAAGGTTTAAAGATGCGACTAAACTTAAAAGCTTATTTGGGCTATTTGTGCACTCCCTCAAGTTGCAAATGGTAGTACGGCCCATGAGGGCTGAAAAGTTTGGGCTCTGTTTGGGCCAATGAGGCTAAAATTGCAAATTGGGCTCCCTCCAATTCTGACCCAACGATCTATATAGCAAGCCCAGCAACCCAAGCGTAGAAGCTTCTGGAGGCAGACGATAACCGCTTCTAAACAAGATGTATATAATGAGAGAGAGAATCCTCGAAATTTCTTTCTTTGTTAACACAAACAGGAAAAAGCATCTGTGAAAAAAACCGATCTCAACATACCAGGTACTATTTCTCAATAAATAATCATTTTCGTTTTGTCAATAATTATTATGTTCGGTTTATTGTATCAATTCTTAGAACTTTTTCTTATGGCTAGCCGAGTTTTTTCTTTGCTTTCTAGTATTCATTGCAATTCTTTTCGTACATTTGTTATCGGTTATCGATATGATTTTTTTTTCTACCTCGTTGTGCGAAAAGAATATTATATCGGGCTGGAAGGCCAATATTCTGGTTTTCGGTTCGATTACAGGCCTTATTTATTGATTTTATATGTATAAAATTTGTAAATTCGGAAAAAATATGTAAAGGTTAATGTAAACTAGTTTTTTTCAGAATATAAGGAAATGTATAAATTGGTTATAATTGTTATTATAATTTAAATGATCTTTTTTTCTGTTTTGCGGATTCACCTTGCAATATATTTGTTATATTTATCAGAATAACATATGTGTATTCCGAAACTGTGTAGAAGTTTTAGATATTTACAAAATATAATTGAGGAAACATGCTGTAAGAAAATTTCATTTTTGACTCTCCAAAGAAAATTTTGTGAAAAAGATGGAACAAAGAGCAGTGTTTTCAATCCATTTGGTTCTTTGTTTTTTCCTTGGGTTATAGGGTCAAATCTTTAGCTTTTGTCTTCTGTATTATTTTCTTGAATAAATTTCTGGGATGTGGTGAATAGTGAATTTCATTGATTTATAAGGATTTATATTATGGGAAGTATCTCCATCTGTTTTTGGCTAGAGTATGGTGTTGAAGAATTTCTTTCCAGAAAAAAGAAAGAGAAAAATGCAATAGGAAGAAGGAAAAAATGTATTTTGGTCCTTGTTTTATTATTTCCTGTTAGTTTTGGTTGTTTGTAATGTCTGAGTTTGCAGACAGGTGAAAGTATGAGGGGGAAGAAGCTGCAGCTACAGTCCTAGTCCACACAGAGGTTACAGCAAGAGATGTCGTAGCCCTAGCCCGAGGGGTCGCTATGGTGGTCGTCTGAGTGATCCCCCTACTAGTCTCTTGGTTCGCAACCTTTGCCGTGATTGCAGGTTAGTTCAGATGGCATCCTCTGTCTCATAAGTTGGAACCATTGATACTTTCATATGTTATCTAATCTCCAAATGAGAACATTCCTTTTTTCATTTTTGGGTTTGGGGGTGGCGGTTGGGGAAGAGCTAGGGAGAGAAGAGAAAAAGAAAGTGCAGCTACTAGCAGATAGGAAGAAATTAAGAAAATGTGATTAATTGAGAGAATGAGCTCCTTATGGTCTTGTTAGAGATTAATATATGTTAGTAGAAAATGTGAAGAACTTTCAGTGTCAAAGAACCTGAATTTCTGAATTTGGATGGAGATGGGTCTGCATGGAGTGACATGGATGGTGAGGATTCATATACTTCACGGCAACTATCTTGGGAATTGGAACTGAGGAGTAGTCAGTCTCTGTAACATATACTGCTGTTAACTAGAAAAATGGCATGTTTTAATATCATGATGGAAATGCTCCTTATTATATGGATAAAAGCATGGTTGTTGCAGCTGCAAGTAATCTATGGATTATAATTGCTCATACAAGGTCTGCATAAGTTCTCTGATCCCATAGATTGTGGCACTGGATCTTCTTATTCACAAATACATTATTGTGGGATTTGCAAACTCTATGTTGTCGTATTTATGACTAAATATTTTGTGAGGTAGTATATGATTGGCTATGTTGTGAGGTGTCGATGGGTGTGTTGGAGGATCCGACACGGGTTAGCTGTTTTGGAGAGCCCATGTGACATAGATTATTGGTCAAGTATTGTGGGAAGGGGTATAGAAATGCATAATCCAACATAGTTTTTCCTTGAAGGGAACCTTGGAGCAACGGTAAAGTTGTCTTCGTGTGACCTATAGTGATGGGTTCGAGCCGTGGAAGTAGCCACTAATGCTTGCATTAGGGTAGGCTGTCTACATCACGCCCCCTAGGAGTGCAGCCTTTTCCCGGGAGTCTGCGTAAATACGGGATGCTTTGTACACCGAGTAGCCATGCCATTCTCCGGATTAATCTCATTTTTTTTCTTCCTTAGAAGGGGACTAGTTTTGGACTTGCATCTCCAAAATCCATCAATGGTTACGGATATGTAATAATCGGGTTTGTCAAACTATTATCTTTCACTATTATCAACTTTTCTCTTTTGGTTATGCACAATTTTATTTCATACTAAAAGGTGGAAATGTCTACATAACTGCTCCTGTCTCCTTCTTTGTTGTGCTGGATGTGAGGTTTTTATTCGTGGAGAGAGTTCTTTCTAATCATATGCTTTCCTGTTTGTTCACTCCTCTCTGCCTTTATTTTCCTCGCACTTATTGGTAAGATATTGTGGCTTAAAGCTAAATTTAGCATCAGTAATGCGGTATTATCTGAAGAAGAATTCTGTCAGAAGTCCTATATTTTCTGTCTCTGTATCTAGATTATGACTGCACTACCTTGAACTTAATGGTAGATGATAGGTACTTAAACAGCCTTCTCTTAGACCTCGCCAGTGTTTGAACCATCAACTATTGGAATAATCACTTGTTCTAAAAATTGTGCCCACATTAGTCTGCCAATAAGCACAATGAGAAAACGAATACTCTATGTGAGAGTTAAAACATCTAAAAAGGTTTTGGCCATTTTCACCAGCTGATTTGTTGTTTGTTCATAGTACTTTCTAGAGGTATAAAAAGCATGAAGGGCAAGAGAAAGGGAAGTTAAGCGATTAGTCATGGAGATAAAAATAGAGTAGTGAGCAGATGACGTAATTGAGAAATGACATAATTCTAAAGTGATTATCCAGTTGTGAGTCATATGGTTGGCTTGTCGATTGCATGACCTCAGCTTTACCTCCTGATTCATTTTATGGTCTGGTTTCAGAATATGTTACTGCGCTCGGATTGCATTGTCCAATCCTTTTTATTTTTGAAGTACAGCTTGTGCATATTATGGTTCATATTTTAATTTTATCTTAACCAGAAAACTTAACTCTTTATCATTTGTTTGAAATATTCACAATGATATATGTTTCACAGGCCTGAAGATCTTCGAGGGCCGTTTGGCGAGTTTGGTCCCATTAAGGATATTTATTTGCCACGAGATTATTACACTGGGTAAGCTTTACCTTAATTGTGTCAGTTCATGATTGCTTTGCTGAATGAAAACCTACTCTCTAACGGTGATGCACACATGACGAAGAGAATGTGGACTGATTGCCTGGCCTTGTTTGTATGCTTGGGTCTTTATTTTTTCCATCAGTTATTTTATGTCTATCTGGTTTTCTCATTGAAAGTGTTGAAGACACGAGTGAAGTAATAAGAGTTATGTCAAGTTGATCATAATGTACATGAAGATTGAAGGAAGTTGGGTATGAATACAATTATGAAGATATTCAAGTGTTGAAGGATTTGAAGTCTAAAAACATTGTTTCTCACAAGGTTAGCAGTCATGAAATTGCTTTCCTTGAATTCCTATTGTGTGACCATCCAAAAAGGTTATTATCTTTTTGCTTGAGGTGGAACAGAACTGTGTGTTTGGTTTTTGGCAGATACATGCTTTTTGCAAATATTATGCAATGGTTAACCATATCTCTGTCTGCTTATATGTCTCTTGACTCCATTCATGTCAAATGCTGCCAGGGAGCCACGTGGCTTTGGTTTTGTGCAGTACTTGGACCCTGCTGATGCTGCAGATGCCAAATATGAGATGGATGGCCAGGTTCTACTTGGGCGGGAGATCACTGTTGTGTTTGCCGAGGAAAACAGGAAGAAGCCTTCAGAGATGAGAGCGAGAGAGCATTCGAGGTAAATCATTCCTTGCCTGATCTACTGTTGGATGACCATGACACTTGTCAATATTCAGCTTGATTGATCACTCTGTCAGCTTTGTGTCAGTTTAGATTCTGGAAATTGTTGATTTTGATTACCGTTCATCCTAATGGGTAAAACCCTTTTCTTCAGGGGTCGGGGAAGTTCCCAGCTCTCGTATTCTCGATCTCCACGGTATAGGCGGTCCTATTCTCGATCACCGCGGTATGCTCGGACTTATTCTCGAAGCCCTGACTACTATTCGCCGCCTCCCAGGAGAAGATATTACTCAAGGTAGTGACAACCATGATTCCTAGCTTAGCAATATGGTTTTCCTTTTGATGGTGGTTGGACAAATATATAACCTGTGCTGTACTGATATGTCCGTGTATGCTTTCTGGTACAGAGAGAGGTCTTGCTCAAGATCTCCTTATGGCTCTAGGAGCAGAAGCCCAGTAAGGAGTAGGAGCAGGAGCAGGAGCAGGAGCTGGAGTAGAAGCTGTAGCTTCGATGATGGCTATTATTACTCTAGATAATAAGCTCTCTCTAGCGGTATTGCTGTGTTATCCTTGTACTGCGACTGTAGTCTTTTTACTGAACTCTTTGGGTTTTGGACTTGTGGAGCACCTTGTGATATTGCCGATAGTTGGAGATCAGACTCCATTAGTTCAGTAACTGAGCCTGGCTTGGTTGTGCGTGACTGACTTTTCTTCATTGTAAATTTCCGTGCTCGTATATTGTCCTGTTTGTTGAAGATTCTCTTAATTCGCGAGCTATTCATTATTATAGCTGTGGCCAGTATTGACGTAATTAGTGGGGAGGATGTTCATGTTTTGCACTTCATATGTTGATTCGATCATTTGAATAAAATATTAGGCCCACCCCAAAGAAGCAAAAAAGAATGTCGAAATAGTGTAGGCTCTCGGTTTTTGGATTGGTAATTGAAAATAGTTAATGTTTGTGAAGCGATTGAATAATAACTATTATTTGATGTGGAGAAAAAATTTGGATAAAAATGCCTCTTAACCGAAACGAAAAAGATTCAGCATATGATGCTGGAAATGGAACTCCGACATATGAAATCTCAACATATTATTTTAAAATTTCAGTATATTATAAATTTCAGCACATTATGATTTTCATATGTAAAAAGTTTGAATATATGTTGGATTTTTTCGGATTTTAGTTGGGGGTATTTTTGTTTAAACTTTGTTTTTGCATGAAAAAAGGGTAAAATTTTGCTTAATTTTAAAATTATGGTTTATTTTTACTGAACAATTATAAATCAGGTTCATTCAGAATTTCTTCCAAGAATATAATATAGTAATAATGGAACCACATCCCATTATGATCGCTCCAATTTTCGCGTACTTTTTTCCTTGGGTCATTGATCTAGCTTAAATAATGTTCTGTTCGGACAGTTCATATTATTTTGTATAATAGTAATAAACCGAATTGACATGATAATACTCAAGGATCATCTCCAGTATGTTAGCAAAATAGCAAAATATGGGGATGAAATAATCCGGCTTCGATAGTGTAATTACTATCCTTAAGGAATTTAAGCTTCCCATTTGGTTGTTGCGGGGATAATAGCAGAATTTCTCTAGGATTTTACAAAGCCACTGAAATTCGAGTTTCAGCAATTAACTCGAATTTCCTACAATAACAGAATATTCGTGAGTGGTAGAAGTAAGTAGAACAGAAAGAGATGAAAATCTGAACTTGTATTTCGTTTTGGAGATGATTCGGGTATTTATAATACTTCTAGGATTCTGTTGGAATTAACACACTCATTTCTTCACGAACATGCACCTTTTAAGAAGAGAAAGTTTAGGAAATACCCATGGGGCGGAAAATATTTACCCGCCCCTACCCGTTGCCTTTTTTCCTACCCATTTTTTTAAATCCAGCGAAATGAAATCAAATTAAGTTACTACTATGAGCCATGCCAATTCAAGGCAAACCAAGCTAACCCAAACCAAATCAAGCCAAGCCAAGCCAAGTCAATTTAAGTGAAGCCAAGCCAAATCAAGTTAAACTAAGTCAAATGGGTAAAAGAAGTTGGGATGGGTGGGTAGGTAAGGGTAATTAGTTTTAATTGGTTTTTTCTCCTTACGTCTAAAGTGTGTCCCTAGGTCTAAGATCTGTCAAAAGTCCTCAAAATAACGTTTTTATATGTATTTATACCAAGTAGGGTTGGACCCAGACAAAAACACCTTCTCCCGTGCGAAATAGGACTCTGGCTCTATAAATGTTGTACAGCCGCGCCGCACCCTGCGGCGCGCTAATGGAGTTTATTAGCAGCCTCAACTTTTCGCATCAGGCGGCATTTTTACACTGCTGCGCCGCGCCTTGCAGCGCGGCAGTGTAATTTTTTCAGAGTGAACTTATTTCATCCTCTTTTAACATCCGGACTTGGTACACGACCTCCGAACACGATCCCGGCTTAATGTCTTGGGCTTTTACTCAGACTTCAAATCTCAAAATCACTTGAATTCATTCCATAACGCCTACATAGATCGAAATCACTCCTACAAGGCATAAAACACATATTAGTGCAAAACACTAGCGATTAAAGCTCAAACTCAATTAATGTACAGTAACTTAGAGTGTAATAAGCGACTAAAATACACAATTATAGCCGATCATCAACACCCCACACTTAAACCATTGCTCGTCCTCGAGCAATCAAACTACACTTTATATAGACACAACCTTTTTAAGCAATTCTCCTAATTCATCACACCAAGAATATTTAAAATAGACTAAGCACAAGAGTGTAACATCTTAACCTCAAGATTTGACTCACAAGTACCACCTATTATTCACAACTCACTCACTTACTCTAACATCGAGGTCAATGACATTACATTTCCTTCATGAATCAAGTGCCCTCACACAACAAAATAGAGTAGTTCTACACAATAAAATTTAAGAACACTTAGGAACTCAAGATAGAAAGAATTCACTCACTCTCAGAAATAACATTTATATGCCACAAAAGATGCACCATAGGCTTGCTCGTAGTGTACTACTCTACTAATCGAGCTCATTCAGTCTAAGATCAAGTAGGACTTTATTTGGCTGTAATGTAGGCTGCGGGACGGGTAGGTTACATTTAAATATAATAGTGACTACACTTCCCTAAGCACTTTAATACATACACTTTAATTTTGAAAACCCCACACTTATGTCAAACCATAACTCCACCTTCACATCAATATACATTAACTCCCCACTTCTTTAAGCACAATTACATCAAGAGTCACCACTATCAAAGAATTCTTTTCACAGCAATACAACTATTTTTTCTTTTCAATTTATGTGGCTCTAACTTTTTCGAAACAGTGCACCTTTCTCCTTATTTCATTAGTTCCACTCAAAAGCCAAACCAAGCACCCCACACTTTAACTTTTACAAAGTTCATAACAATTCAAGTGCTCATGAGAGGTGAAAAGGTTCAAATAGATGGTTAATTCAAACAAATGGGAAAGGCTTATAATGTGGTTGCCAAAGAAATAGGATTATAGACTCAAAGAGGTTAATTATGATACATAACAATTAGGCGGGTAAAATATATATATGGCTCAACAAAGAAATGCCTATATCACTTCCAAGACTGAACAAAACTACTATTTCACTTTGCAAACACATGGGGAAAGTTCTAGACATCAAATGCAATGCACAGAATAATACAAAATTTTACACACACATGGCACATAACTCACTCAGGATTGGACTCATCAAGACACTCTAGTCAAAACAGTTAAGCAAAGTTAAGATCGTACAATTTAAGGTACTTATACAAGAGTAAAAAACTGAGCCTAAGCGTCACCACCAAAGTACTCACTATTCTCAAGGCATAACAAAGTTAGAAGATATTGCTTCAATTTAAAGCATAGCACAAGTTTTCCAAGTTCTAAAAAAAAATAAAAACTAACTATACCCGGTTCAAACAAAACCCTTGAAAAAGAACCGCTGCACAAAGAAAAGCCAAGGGAAAATTGCTACACTACCTACAAAGAAATTTTTTTTGTCCTTTTTCTTTAGACTTAAGTCCCTCAAGAAAGCTGTCTAGGAGATCCTTCGTCGGGAAAAGTCCAATTTTCTTCTTTTTTTTTTTGACAAAAACTACTACACTAAAAATGAGTACTACAACTAAGATAAGATAGCACAAAATCTCACCCAAACAATCTCCTTACCCCACACTTAAAATTGTGCAATATCCTCAATGCACACTGAAAATAACAAGAGGGTAAAAGAGACTCCCTGGTAGGCCAAAGGCTGAAGAATTAGCAGCTCATGGGATACTCAGACTTCTCCCAGGTATGATCCCTTGTGCGGGTACCTCACACTTAGTTACAACCACCTGCTCTCTTTTGCACATGCCTATTGGCTTTGACTCCATGCCCGTACTCCTACAAAACACAAAAATAATACTACAAAAAAAAATCAACACAATAAAATAAGAAAATAAATAAAAGGAAAAGAAAAAAACGTAGAATTGGGTTGCCTCCCAACAAGCGCTTGATTTAACGTCGCGGCACGACGCCATCACTTTCACCACTTTTGCTTCCACTTTGAAAATATGAATTGTGCCCCCAATTTTGCATCAATTTTTCTGTCATGTTCTTGGGGCGGTGGTACAAAAATAAAGGAACAAAGTAATAGATATCGCATCTTGCACTTCTTGGCCTTTAAATGAGGGATGTCGTTTTGTCTCCTTGGCATCACAAATTTCAGAATATAAACACTTTGTTCCTCATCCATTGACTCCTCCATATGCTCGACTGGATCAATTCTCATGTCACCAACTAAACATAATGTTGAAAAGTGTTTAGAATGAGGTCCAATACACTCCAGCTCCAAAATTGCATTATTTTTGACATCCCCAATTTTGCACTCTTCGTCAACCTTTGCATTATTAATAATTTGGTCAAATAGTTGGGATTCCTCTTTTTGCTCCATAAGTTGACCAGTATCCACAAAAATTAGTTGTAGGGCATCAGACGCCTCAACCTTTTTATTCAATTGAACCTGCATGTCATGGATATCTAAGCCAAATTGGTCTATCTCTTGCCTGAGCTCAGTTCTTCCTTCTATCAGTTGTTTTGCCATATTTGAAAGACCATCACGGAGAAACTCATGAGATTTTATTAGTTAAGCTTGTTCCTCTAGCCAAGATTCGCTCATCATATCTGCTACTTCAAAATTATTTTCTGGTGGGAACTCACTCTCTTCAGCCACTTCCTCCGCCTCGGCCTTAATTCTCATGATTGCTGCACTAATTCTTTGTATAGCCTTTCGATTTTCATCTTGTTGCTCGGTTACTTGCCTCATCATCATGTCATGTTGCTCGACTACTTGCCTCATCATGTCCATAATACGAGCCATGCTTTCCGTATCCTCCACTTCCTTGCTCCTATCAAACTCATAAACATTATTAGAAACATTATAATAAGAGCTCTGAGAAGGATAATAAGAATTAGGACAACCATCCCAATGGCCATCTTGACCACCATATATATTACAAATATTCCACTCAAAGGATTGAGATTGTGCGCACAACTCGCTCCCGGGAACATTCTGACAATTTTTCCACCAGTGAGGTCCTCCACAATATGGACAAGGATCATCATAATAAGAATAACCAATATTTGACCAATTATCATTCCAAGATGCCATGTTAACAAAGATAGTAAATATTAACCTAAGATAAAAATTAAAAAAAAAACTTGAATAGACAAAGAGTAAAAATCTAATCTAGCAGTCTAGTTAATTTCTAAGTCCCCGGCAACGGCGCCAAA